TGTGTCATGTTACAAATATCTGGGCGTACTCATCACTTCTGATCTTTCCTGGAAGATGCATGTAACACATGTAACCAATAATGCTAATCGCACGCTTCTTCTGTATAAATTACTTCTGTATAAATCATTAGTACGTTCCAAAATGGAATATGCTGCATCTGTGTGGGACCCCAGCCAAGAAACACTTATTCATCAGCTTGAATACACCCAGAATCCATCCATCAGCTTGAATCCATCCAACGTAGAGAAATATCTCACCTATGCCTGTTTCACAAAATATATTATCACAATTCAGTCCTTAAGAATAAATTGATAACTCCTTCTTCTTACGTATCCGCTCGCATCGACCATCGTCATAAGGTTGGCATTCCGACATGCCACACCAACCATTTTTATAATTCATTCATCCCCCGTACGTCAGCAAGTTGGAATCACCTTCCCCGATCTGTAGTCGAGATGTCTAATACCTCTATGTTTAAGGCTGCTGTAACTAACCTGTCGCCATAATTTTTAGGAATATAGTATTTCCATTTTTCAGTAGACCTGTTAAGCTTTGTAGTTCTTTAATACCTGTTTTTGTTCTTATAATGTGCATTATCTCTTGTTGGTTTCCTTCACTGATCCATGTAACCACCAATTTTCCACTTTTTCATTATGTTGTGTAACCCACTCCCCTCTGTAATGCCCTCGGGCCCTTAGGGTATTTAAATAAATAAATAAATAAATAAAAAGCGGCAGAGACCTAAAAGCTACGAAGACAAACTTGTGCATAGGCAAAAATCGAATGTATGCATTAAGGAACAAGAAAGGCAATGTCATAACCAATATGGATAGGATAGAAGAGGTGGCAGAGGAGTTTTACAAAGAGCTGTACAAAAGACAAAACAACCAGGATGATATCGTGAGAAAGAATAATGATCCAGAGGAATTCAACATCCTACTAATAACGACTGGGGAAGTATGGAAAGCCCTAGAAGAAATGCAAAGAGCCAAAGTCACTGGTGAGGATAAGGTAACAACTGACCTCCTGAAAGATGGTGGAGAAATTGTGTCACAAGAACTGGTCGCCTTATATATGAAGTATCTCTTTAGGGGAAAGGTACCAGAATCTTGGGAGTATACCGACATCATCTTAATCCATAAGAAAGGATATGTCTAGGACTTGAAAAATTACAGGCCGGTCAGATTACTGTCCATTCTCTACAAACTACAGTAGACTCTCAGTAAATGGAAATCTACTTCTTATACGAGCTACTTCTTATACGAAACTACTGCTTCTGCTATGTTTGGTTTTGGGCTTGTATTCTGCGCCCATATTCATCTCTCAATAAATGAAACTGCTGTTAAATGGAACGTATTTTCCCAGTTCCTTCAGGTTCCGTTTACTGAGAGTCTACTGTATTTACAACAAAAAAATCGCTAATAGAATTAACAGAACATTAGAGTTCAATCAACCAAAGGACCAAGCAGGATTTTGTACAGGCTACTTCACAATAGATCATATTCATACTATCAGTCGGTGGTTATACAAAAATGTTCAGAATACAACCAACCCCTATAGATAGCCTTCACAGATTACAAGAAAGTGTTTGACTCAGTCGAGACATCAGCAGTAATGCAGGCACTACGTAATCAGGGGATCGAAGAAGCCTACATAAGCATAACGGAAGAAATCTACAGTGGATCCACCACCACCATAGTTCTCCATAAAGAAAGCGACAGAATTTCAATAAATAAGAGTGTAAGGCCGGGAGACACGATCTCTATATTGCTGTTCACCACGTGTTTGTCTCGAGTTGATAACTTAGTCATATTAAGAACCTTTTATTGGAAGTACTTCACTTCATGTCACTATCTATGCTTAATTTAACATTTTAAACTAAAAATAAAAACAATGCATATGTGACAAAACGCTATGACACTGCGAGTGCATGTGACCTTCACGCAGGTCGCATTTGTATATGCACCGCTATAAAGCATTCCAGTTGGGTATGCGTGGCCATGCACCCACAAGCCTGCTAAGCCCCAAGCGCTTGCGTACCCAACAAAGGACCCTAGAATGGGAAGAGTTAGGGATAAGAGTTAATAAAGAGTATTTTAGTAATGTGCGATTCACTGATGGCATTGCCTTGATTAGTAACTCAGGAGATGAATTACTGCTCATGATTACTGAACTGGACACGGAAAGCAGAAAAGTAGGTTTGAAAATTATTATGGACAAAACTGAAAATTAATATGCACAAAACTAAAGCAATGTGCAACAGTCTCGGCAGAAAACAGCACTTTGCGATAGGTGGAGAGGTGCTGGCAGTTGTGAAGGAATATGTCTACTTAGGGACAGGTAGTAACCGCGGAGCCGAACCATGAAGTTGAAATAACTAGAAGAATAAGGATGGGGTGAATCACATTTAGCAAGCATTCTCAAATCATTAATGGTAATCTGCCACTAACCCTCAAGAGGAAGGTATAAAACAGCTGCATATTGCAAGTACTTACCTATGGAGCAGAAACCTGGAGGCTTACAAAGAGGGTTCAGCTTAAATGGAGGATGGTGGTGGTGGTGGTGGTGGTGGTGTTGCAGCAGGCGGGGTTAGTCTGGCCTGCATGGCCAGCAATTGTTCCGCCTGAGCATCTCCTGAATTTGGAAAATGTCACCACGTGTCAGACAGCCCAGTGTCTCGCAGGAAGACCAACAAAATTCGTTGCACGCTCCTCCTAGTTGCGGCGGGTCCTTCAGGAAAGATAACGTCATCAACTGTCTGGTGTCTATGACAGCCTTTTCGCAAGGTGCGGATCATCGCTGCTCTTTGCACATCAAACTGTGGGCAAAGCCAAATGAAATGTTCAATATCCCCGATGTCACCACAGAAGGCACAGAACGGGGAAGCGTATCTCCCAGTCTTGAATGACCAGGCCGGGGTGTATGCGGAGACGGTTCTAATGCGGTACAACAGCGTCGCTTCTTCACGAGAAAGTCCACGAATTACACATGCTTGGTGTGGAAACTTGTTGATCGCCTTGAAATGATTGCGTATCACATCTTTGTTGTTCTGGTAAGTCTTGGGAGTTCTTACTTTTGGAAACGATGTACGTGCTTCGCATGCAAGGGCATCAGCCTTTTCATTGCCCTCAATGCCAACGTGGGATGGGATTCACTGGAACTTTATATTAAAACTCTTGCCATTTAGGTGTTTGATTAGTGCCAGAGATTGCCTGGTGAACTTTTCTTGAGGTAGGCCACGATGCAGTCTTTGTAGCGCCGATTTGGAGTCCGTCAGCACTACAACATCTCGTGCAGAAAAGGATCGCAGTTTTCGCAAAGCCGCCGTGATTGCAGCGCTTTCTATTGTTGTGGACGAAACCACGCGATCCAGGCGGCCCGACCATGACACGCCCAGGCTGGGTATGCAGAAAGCCGCTGCGCAGCTATCCGTCTTTGTGCACACTGATCCGTCGGTGTACACTTGTAGGTGGCCGCCATCACCAAGCCATCACCGATATCACCATCACCAAGCCAGTTCGAACGCCTAGAGGCAGTGCACAGAAAGGGTCTTCGCTTGGCGATGGGAGTCCCTCAGGCGGCTTCAAACACGAAGGTCACCAATGAAGCCGAGTCTCTTCCGCTCCGCCTTTTGGCGTCTCAGGCCTTATTGACGCAGCTGTCAAGACTGGGCGAGTCCTTCGCAGGCACGGCGCTTCTCCGGCGGCTAAGAGCAAGAACTGGCTCACATTTCAACGCGGCACTAAACACATTTCAATATTTAGGCTTGAAACTGCCTAAACGGCGCCCTATGGACCCGCCATGGTCTTTTGTGGATGTTGCGTGCAACTTCAGCGTACCCAATCTACCAGCGAAGCGCACCATTCCAGCCGCGGAAGCAAAATTTCTTGCGCTGGACCACTTGAGCACCATGTACCGCGGCCACCTACAAGTGTACTTAAATGGAGGATGACACAGCGAGCGATGGAAAGGAAAATGATAGGTGTAACCTCAAAAGACAAGAAGAGAGCAGAGTGGGTCAGGGAACAAACCAGGGTTAAGGATATCATAGTTGAAATCAAGAAGAAATGGACATGGGCCGGGCACGTAGCACGTAGGGAGGTTAACCGCAGGTCATCAAGGGTAACTGACTGGATTTCGAGAAAAGGCATACGCAGGAAGGGGAGACAGAAAGTTATTTGGGTCGATGAGATTTAAAAGTTCGCAGGTATAACGTGGCAACGGAAAGCACAAGACAAGGTATTGGCGGATCATGGGAGAGGCCTTTGCCCTTCAGGGGGCATAGTGAGGCTGATGATAATGATGACAATCGTGTAAATACAGTGTGTGCACCTTGTATGCTGTAATTGCAAACACAGACCGCACATCCACAAAACAAATTCAGTTGATGGTTGATGTAACGACGCTCACTCATTCTGGACGTCTCAGAAAAAAATGGCAGTTGTGCTCTTTCATGTTTCAGTGTCGGTTTCACCGCTGAGTTTTTCACACGACGAACTTCAATTTTTCCTTTTGACCAAAGTGCGTTACCTTACTAATTAAAAAGTTAACTTTCTTAAATATTTTCCCAAAATTTGTCTTAAGCCACTGTGAGATACCTGGGGTTATTGAAGAAGTAATTGTGAAGACATCAAACATATGTTGCATTTTCCTGATTTTTGTGGACTTTAGAAACATTTCTTGAAACACCCAGTATATTACAGAAAATGAACCTACATCTAGAATCCAAACCTGACCCAAATATTTACATTTTCAGTGAGTCATTTTGAGTAATTTGATAATTTTTTACATCCCCCTTGTTATTAAAGCTTAAGTATATATGAAATTTTCAACACGGTGTGAATTTGCCTCCAATGAATCAGTGGAGTATTTACTGGGCAGCTTTCATGTATGGTATACTATAATCTCCTAGAAATATAACTTCTAAAGGATAATGGGATATAAACATGAAAGTTGTAGAGACAAAGAGCTGCTTTCACTTGTTTTCATTTCATTCCAGGTGTCTGAGGAAAAAGGTTCTGGTCCTGTTGAGTCTCCCAAGGAAACTGGACCTTTTCCATCAGTTCGGCTTAAGCCAACGGGACTTGCCGAGTCGTTGCGTTCTCCAACTGAATATTATCCTCGAGAAAAGAGCTGCATCAGCCCCTCGGAGAATGTTCCCTCTTCACCTCAGCTAAGTACCCCTGGCAGTTCACCAAAGACAGTTGCAGCCTTGAAAAGTGGTCGTCCACCACCTCCTGTTGCACCGAAGCCACGACCAAAGTCAATGGTTGGCACAATGGAATCCCGTTTGTCAGGTAACTAACTTACAGTGGCCAAGTTATGGTTTCATCACTGCTTGTAAAGGGAAGCGTAACCCTTATTTGAACCAGAACCAGCACTGTTCTTGCGGAGTGGTTTGTGATGTGCAGGCAACAAGTGCATTGGAACACTATGAATTCTAACTTACAGTGGCCAAGTTATGGTGTTTCATCACTACTTGTAAAGGGAAGTGTAAACCTTATTTGGACCAGAACCAGCACTGTTCTTGCGGAGTGGTTTGTGGTGTGCAGGCAACAGGTGCATTGGAACACTATGAATTCGAGCATTTTATTGAGTACATCACCCTTATTTACCCACACCATGTCCATGGAATGCAGATCATGCTGGTTTAGCAAACTCCACACCTTTTACACTTTAACACGGTAGTTCTTGATTGGAAGTATGGGGTTCAGCGAAGCCATATTGGGGAGTCCACAAAGCCCATCCACAAAAAAAAAAAGGGGGGGGGGGGGGTCCGATCCTGGCCATGGAGTTCGGTCGCATTTCGATGGACGCAAAATGGTAGAGCAGACGATTTACAGTCAACGTCTGATTTGTCAGACGCCCGAGATTCCAGACATGCCCGATTTCCTGAACTCATCCGTGGCACTGTCAAGTTTCCCATAGAGTCAATGTATTGAAAAGTCTAAATTTCCGGATGTTTATAGGTTTCGCCATCCAATTTTCTGGACTTTTTTACCGCTAATCGCTGACTTGCAGTCACTATTAACGCCGCCATCTTGGCTTTTGTACCATCGAACACACCGCCCCGCGACTGCCGTACCCTCGAAACTGAAAATGCCACAATCCAGCACATACCAGTCCGTTGCCAGCCATAGCTTTATAGTGAAATAGATAAAGGTAGTGGGATGAGGGCGGTCCTCCCGGTGATGCCGTTTGCACTAAACCACTAGGCAGTGCTGCGGGGCCTTTCTCTTGAAACATGCCGTAGTGGGCGCTTGTTTGCTGCACTTTAAAATGACGACTGTGATGTGTTTAAAGTTGATGCTTGACTTCTGATTGCCAAAATTGTACACTGTGTCAACAAAAAGAGAATAAATAGTTTTGTCTTGAAAGCGGCAAAATGTGAGATTTTAGGGACAAGGCTGTCACTGTCAGTAAGAAAGTTCTTGGAACTGCGGGTGGCTATTCAGGCGGAATGGGTGCGGCTCTACACAGCCGATGCCATGCATGCAAAAACACGAGAGTAGCAAATGAAACAACTAAAAAAAAAATGATCAAACCATTTTAATCAACACAAAGGCACTCTTCAAAAACTATATATGCAAAGACAAACCCAGAATTCCAGGTTGTTCGGCTGAGCTTAATAATATGCTTTGCTTTCTGTCCAAGCGTAGATGCATAAAGACACTGACAAAACAATTCTCATATTTGTTTTTTCCTTGTAACTGTCGCATATAATACCATTGTAGCAGAAGAAGTGGCTCTTCACTAGAGCCGCAATGTTACAAATGCTGTCCGTGTGTAGCTCCAAGACAATGAAGCATTCAGCATATATTGTCACATTCTGAACGAATGGGACATTTACAAGGTGGCTGGTGGCTTCACAAAGCCCAAGTCCTGAGAGCAGTCGACACAGCACAGCCAGAACAAAGGCACATGCACGAGAACTACCGCGTCGTCTCCCTCTATCACGCTGGCAGATTAAGCGCGTGGCGTTTCCTTCTGAAAGAGCATTGTCTCAATGCTAAAGGGTGCACTTACGGTAAACAAACAAAAACCTAATGTCCCGAAAATCATGAGTGTCAGAGTGTGTGATATGGTTTTAAACGCACCACGTGCACAATCTCTGGGTGCGGCTGTCTTTTACATGGTGGTTGGCTTCCGTCCGGAAGGACTTCATAGTTGCGGTCGCTCACTCGTCGTAGCACCTTGTAAGGGCTGAAATAGCGACTGAGAAGTTTTTTAGAAAGGCCTTTACGGCGAACGGGGGTCCAAACTTGCACTTGGTCACCCGGTCGGTAATTGGCTTGTCTGTGGGGGAGGTTGTAGCGTCATGTGTCGATGTCCTTTTGTTTCTTTATGTTCACACTCGCTAGTTGGCACGCTTCCTCAGCTCGTTGAACAAAACTCTTGGCATCTTCATCAAGATTGTCGATTCTGTCAGTGTCACATAGGAGCATGGCATCCAACATTCTCTGGGCATCACGATCGTATAGAACACGAAATGGTGTGAAGCGTGCAGTCTTTTGCCTAGTGGTATTGTATGTGAATGTTACGATAGATAGTACCTCATCCCACGTCTTCTGTATTCCTCCATGTACATAGCAAGCATATCAGTCATTGTTTTGTTCACCTTTTCGCTCAACCCGTTTGTTTGTGGGTGATAGCCTGTAGTTCTGCGATGCACGGCATAACTTGGCCAGAAGATGTGTTCAAGAAGCCTTGCCGTAAACGCCGTGGTGTAGTACAATGTTCTCCATGAAAAACTGAGCAACTTCAGTAGCTGTGCCTTTGGGAAGAGCCTTTGTTTCTACGTAGCGTGTTAAATAATTCGTAGGGACGATTATAAACTTGTTTCCTGAAGACGACAAGGGAAATGGGCCGAGGAGATCCATGCCCACCTGATCAAAAGGTGTTCTGCATGGCTCGATAGGGTGAAGTAATTCTGCAAGCTTCCCAGATGGGGACTTTAGACGCTGGCATTCGTGGCAGTCTTCGACATATTGCTTAAAGCAAGCAACAACCTTCGCTTGCTCTAGCAAGTGTTCGGGTGATACCCAAATGGCCAGATGAAGGTTCGCCATGGCAGCCAAACGAAATTTCATCACAAAGCCCGGCTGGAATGACCAATAGATAAGTTTTCTCACTGGCAGAAGCATTCTTGTACAACATGCCTTATCGCAAGCAGAAGGATGACAGTCTGCGAGCTATGTGGGGGGTAGAGATACATTGTGGCCCTCGAGATGTTCAATTATAGGTTGCAATTCAACATCCGCTCGCTGCTTTGTAGCTATGTCGGTTATGCTTACGGCTTCAATAATAGGGCAGTCGCCATCGAGGTTCTGAGCAGCAGGCTCAACTGGCGCAAGGGACATGTGTGAATTTTATGCGCATGACCCAACTTACACATGATAGTGGTATCATACTCCTGCAATCATAGGCTCCACCGGGCTAGTCGTCCGGAAGGGTCTCTCAGGTTCACCAGCCCGCACAGCGAGTGATGATTTGTCACCTTCAATGGGCGTCCGTAGAGGTAAGGTTGAAACTTAGCAAGGGCCCATACGACGGCAAGGCACTCCTTTGTAATACTGTCGTTGGACTGTGGGCGAGATAGGGTGTGGCTTGCGTAAGCGATGACTTTTTCAATTCCCTCCTGCCACTGTACGAGTAACCATGCCCAAACCGATGTTACTGGGGTCAGCATGAATTTCAGTCTCTGCTTCTTCGTCGAAGTACCCAAGAACAAGTGGTGATGCCAGGCGATGCCGCAGCTCGGTGAACGATGTTTCTTGTTCGGAGCTCCAAACGAATGGTGTGTTGTCTCTGGTGAGCCGAGTAAGGTGTTCGGAAATTTTCGAAAAATTGCCTATAAAGTGCCGGTAGTATGCACATAACCCAAGGAACCGCCGAACACTTTTCTTATCGGTAGGAGTCGAACAGGCTGCTGCAGCGGCTGTTTTCTTGAGGTCAGGACGGACAAATTCTGCGCTCACAACATGGCCAAGGAACTCCAATTCCTCGTAACCAAAGTGGCATTTCTGACGTAAGTTAGCCAATCGGATTTTAGATGTTCAGAAAAGGTGGCTTAAAACACGACCACCTCATCTAAGTAGATAAGGCAGATTGGCCACTTTAAGCCTGTTAACACAGTGTCCATCATGCGCTGGAAGGTAGCTGGCGCAAAGGAGAGACCAAATGGGAGCACTCGAAATTCGTAGAATCCATCCGGCGTGACAAAGGCTGTTTTTTCATGGTCGTGCTCATCAACCTCGAATTGCTAATAGCCACTTTTCAAATCAAGAGAAGAAAATTATTTCGCTCACCGTAGCCGATCAAGAGAGTCATCAGAATACATGGCAGCAGATAAATGTCCTTTTTTATGACGTTGTTGAGCTTTCTGTAATCGACTCAGAAGCAAAGCGTGCTATCTTTTTTCTTGACCAGGAGGACCAGTGATGACCACGGGCTGTTGGAAAGCTGAATAATACTATTTTTAGTCATTTCCTTCACCAGCTCCTTGATTGCTTCATGTTCTTTTTGCGAGACACGGTGTGTCTGTTGGCGGATAGGTCGCCTATCGTTGTAAGTAATTATTCTGTGCGGCATGATTGACGTCTGACTGACTTTAGATGATTGAGCAAAGCACACCTTGAATTTGAGTGACAGCTGTCTCAATACCTTCTGGTTCTTTTCCGATAGCGCATTGTTGATGTCAACACCTGTTTCGGCTGTTCCATCACAGCTACTATCTTGACACGCAAAAAACTCAATGACATACCACAAGGCTTCAGCGTAGGCGATGGCAGTGCCACGGAAAAGGTGATGATGTTCATCTGTGAAATTCGTGATCATGACTTCGCCTTGACTATACCTAATCTCAATGATGCCTCATGCCACATAAATTCCAAGTGCTAGTAACAGGCAGTCTGCCAGTGTTTTACTGTTACTTGTGTCCTCGGAAGTCATTTGGATGATTATATAGCACGAGGTGGTATTGTGATGCTGTCGTCTAAACGCGAAGAGCAGCTGTACTGCAGGAGAGATCTTTTAACGTAGCCTTGGCTCTAGAAAATGAAATCCAGCGCATGCGCAACTCGATTATGGCACCGTATTCCCGAAGAAAGTCTATTCTGATAATCAATTTGCGGGAAAATTCACGTAGCACGAGCGAGGTAACGAAAAATGTGGAACCTCGTATTTGCAGCCTGGAAGTGCACACACCAAGGGGCTTGACGTGTCCTCTAGCTGTGCGTGTGTGCAACCCTGTCCAAAGTGGGATAACTTTTTTCAGTAGACCTGCCAACTTTTTGCTAATAATCGAGTAGTCAGCGCCGGTATCTACTAAGGCTGTTACATTTCAACCGTCGATGAGCACAGGTATGTCCATTGAAATGTCACCAGGCTTAGACACAGGCGTCGTCGAATTGTCGTCGGTCTGAAGTCACGTCAATTGGATGTCAAGGTTTCGATACATCGAGAATCGGAGGCCTCGCCCCGTAAGGTCGCTGATGTCAGTTTTCTAGGGGAGGGCTTGGAGATCGTCCTTGCGACTTCCGATTTCTGTTGTCCGAGTAGAATAGTGATCGTGGCGCTGTGAACACAACTGGCATCTGAGTGGTATGCGTTGCTGAGCGAGAAAATTTTAGATCTCAGGTGGTCACTGTCCGAACCGGGGACAGGGCGAAATTGCAGGAACACCCTGAAGCCCAAGTAGACGCTACTGGCACTCTCGGTACACGTGACCAGCCTCACCACAGTGGTTGCAAAGAAGTCGTCTGTCGGGCATGCACCAAATGTCGGAATTATGCGCGACGGGCCGAGTGCCTTCAAAATAAGGCACCACCTGTGCAGACTAGAGTGTGGAATATGGGGTTGCGGCGGGTATCGGCCCTGTCATAGGTGGGTAGTATCTGTATGTGTCGGCATAACTAGTGGGCTGAAAGCCGCCACTCACTGGAGGTGTCATGGCCGATGGGGCGGGGCGTCTCAGGGTGTGGGCATACGTCATGCATTGAGGTGTATCGGAAGGTGTGAACGCCTGAAGTGGTGCACCAAGCTGAACAAGTGTCTCGCGACGAGGTGCGCCGAGCGCCTGCTAGACTTTATCATGCATGATGCTGGTTATGCAGTTAGTAGTCGACTGCTGCTGTGCCTGGTGCAGTTGTTGCAGCTTGTCGTGGATACATTCACCTGCTCTTATTATTTTTTTCTGAATCCTTGCTTTCCTAGTAGTAGATGCTCACTGTTATATTTTTGTGTTCCTCTTAGGAGAGTTCTCCAGTGATGAGGGTCTGAGGACTAGAGCTAGGACACCAGATGAAGCAGATTCTTTGGACAGCAGCAATAAATGTAAGTCCTCTTCATTTTCTTTAAATGAAACATATTGGCAGTGTACACTGTTCAATTAGATTTGAAGTAATAGCAACATTACTATAGATGTTGAGAGAAACTGATTTTAGAACTGTGTTACTGAGAAAATAGAAAGAAAAGGTGGAGGAAGTTAGCATTCATGCAGAGCTTTACATATGTTAGGCATTGTTTTCCATAAACCATGTGTTGGAACATTTTTTGGATACAACACTAGAAGCAACAGTACCATCATCATTGTTAATTCTGTGAACTTGCCACAGTGGTCTAGTGGCTAAGGCACTTGGCTGCTGACCTCCAGGCCATGGAATCGAATCTCAGCTGTGCCGGCTGCATTTTCGATATAGGCAAAAATGCTTGAGGCCTGTGTGCTTAGATTAGGTGCACATTAAAGAACCTCAGGTGGTTGAAATTTCTGAAGCCCTCCACTACGGCGTTTCTCATAATCATATGGTCTTTTTGCAATGTTAAACCTCAACAATTATTTTTATCAATAATTTTATGAAGTATGGTGAAACGTCAATATATCAAACACTGATATATTGAATTATTGTCTATATTAATTTTTGAGTGCATCACCTCAAAAGTCACCTGTATTTAAAATTTTTTATGCTGAACTACATCGCATTTGAAAAAAAAAAGTGTATCGAACTTTGCCGACCTAGAACCCGTGCACTCCGTTGACATGCAGCAGGCTTTCCAAGAACGCATGTGCAGCTGGAAGGGGTACTATGGGCATTTCTAAATGCTTTACATTAGACTACACACGCATATCAATAGCACACAAATTTCTGACCCTGCTACACATTACGGTGCATGCTCACATCGACCATGCCAGAGGTGCCATTTGAACATAGCTATATACACATGTGTCGGTTTGACTAGTTTAAAAACACATTGCATTTGATGCACCGACTTTTCCACAGGTCCTGCTGTTATGTCCATATCAATCATAGAAAGTGCTAATTGACTGGGCATCTTGGCTAGTTTGACAGTACATTACATTTTATGCTCTGACTCCTCTCCAGTGCCACACTCACATCCACATCAATTGACATAAAGGCGCCATTTGAATGAAGCAGTATGCACATGCAGAAGCCTGGCTGGTTTGAAAATGCATTGCATTTGAATTGCTGACTTTTTAACCGTAAAACTTTCACGTTCACATCAATTGTGCTGAAAGTGCCACTTGAAAATGACGTGGCTGGTTTAACAACGCATTGAATTCGAAGCACTGACTCTTCTGCGGGGCCGCTCTCACTTCCACATGAATTATGCTGATGATAGCACATCCTTGCTAGATGTGCCACATTAATTTTTTCGATGAAGAAAAACCAACTTGCCCACATCCCTATACTTATTCAGTGCATTTCTAGCACACAGAGCGCTTTTGTTTTGTTCAATCCCTCTTTGCAAGACCCTGCGACTTAGGTGTTGTGAATTGTGATGTCTCTGTGTTCAGCAGATGCTGAATTTGAAGTATTGTTCATGTTTGTCATTGTTTTGTTTTCTCAGTCCTCTCTTACCCGTGTTTTCACACCAGTACTTCGAACTACTCATCTTCACTAATAATGTACTGGTCAAGACACTTACATGTGAAAAAAAACCTACAAACTGACTAGCATTTAGCTTAGTGCTGTTGCTGTATACATTTGTTGGTGAGTTATTCGTGCTTCTTCTCTCTAGTTTTGTGTGTGTGTGCAAATGCAGGTATAAAAGAAAAAAAGTTTTTTTTTAATTTATTTTTTAAGAAAATGTTTTAAATGACATTACTAAGAGCTCAATTGTTGTGTTTTTGCAGCTTCTGAAGGAGCACCATGGAAACGTGCAGCAGTATACAGCAAAGATTCATCAGATGGGTCCCTGGTATCATCAACCGCGTCCACTGCAGCCAGCAGGGCTGCATTTTTTGCAGGCTCTTCATTAAGATCGTCAGGCATGGCCACTTCGTCCCTGGCCAAGGAGAAGGCAGAAGGAGATTCAGAGGGCACGCCTTCAGCTCCACCAGCGGACGACATTGTCGATGTCTGATAGGATGCTGGTCAAGTCACATCTGTTTACCTTTATATGTGTGCATGTGCGTGTGTCACTAATGTGTGTGTTCTACGTAATGAGTTTAATTTGTTTGAAAGAGTTGAAAGGGTGCATGTACAGAACTTCGATGTGTCTCATGGAGCTGGTGAGTTGCTTTTTGTATTCTTTTTACCATGCTGTTGCAATAACTATTACCGTAAATCAGATGCTCTTTGCCTGTGGAACAGTGTGACAATTTTTTTTAATCTAGATTTAATGTAAGGGTCTTACAGTAGTCATATTTTCGCCAGTGCGAAAGGAAATGTTAGGGGATATGAGCTGTCACTTAATGAAAATACTTAAACCTGTCATCGCATAGAAGTAGCTTGTGGAAAGGTGTATATATATATGACCAGGATCCTTTTACACAGCATTGAGTACAATGTTGTGTGGAAATCTGCTCATGTAGAACCAAGAAAAATGTTAACTTTGTGTATGTGTGTGTATGTATGTGTGTGTGCACATGTGTGAGTGAATGTGTTATGGGTCTTGGGGCCAGTGCCTCTGCTCAACATGACATGAAGTCATGACTGTAGAATACCAGTGATTTTAATCCTCTTTCTCTCAGTCTGGCAGGTGGTTGCAAACTTGTGTAGGAGGTTTGTAGTCGTGTTAAAGGGCAGAGTGATTTTAGTATAGAGGTGTTCAGGAACTCTGTTTTTGTCATTGAGAAATCACCTCTGTTGCAACAGTTGCCTAGCATTTGAATATTGCTATTAAACTTACAAGCTTTGAGCAGACGTACGAGAAAGTGGGCATGCGTTACACTGGATTTATTTTTCAGTTTTATGTATTTACTGCAGTTCAATTGTATGGCTCATAGTTGTTAGCCTGTTCAATTTTTAGGCTAGCGTAAGCTGGTTGTATTTACAAAAACAATATTGCAGTAATGTGGGTGTGCATTAAGTGCATTTATAGTATCCCATGGCATGTCGTTTGGGTTCTGGTTTACTTTGACAGTGATGTAAGGCTGTTGATTGCAAGTTTATTTTTTCTTTTGTAATACGTATAGGTAGTCTAAGGAACAAGTTAAAAGTAGACAGTTGAACTTTAGTTGAAGGAAATTTTCTATCTTGTGAAGCTTGTTGTTTCCATATATTTTTCTTAAGAATACAAAGTGTTAGCTTCCTAAGTTAATGGAAGTAATTTTCATATATTTTTTAATTAAGTCATTGCAATTAAAATGCGGCAAGTGCACTGCAGTGCTACTTGTAATCTGGTAGATTGTCACAGCAACATTGATGTCACTGTTGAGCACTCTCTGTAACACACTAGCAATATGTCTATGAGTGTCTCTTTTTCTGGGTGGTTATTTTCTGAGCTGTTGTTTAACCATGTTCACAGAATGCAACTTGAGTTCATTGATAATTTGCAAATGAAACGTAAAAGGCATAATGATTCTGTGTCTGACGGGGGCTGTGCTGGACAAAAATAGCTGTCACCTCAATATCTGCCTGGCAGGTAAATTTAGAGCCGGGCTAGGCTGACTTCAGACAATTTCGCTTTCTTTCTTTTTAGTTTTTGCCCCATTGAGTATGTTCCTTGTCAGGCTTCCCCATCATACCTACTTGCACACAAGTAGCATCGTTTACATTCAGCCACAGTGTGGTCAACACAGAAATTCATAAAGCCCAATCTTGAAACAGCCAGCATCACTTGTATCCACTGCGGACATGGTGTCTATATGTATTGTTGTTTCTGCAAGCACCATTGGAGGATCACCCTTACCCATACAAGTAATCACATAAGGGATTCAGAATTGGTTTGTTTCATGCCTAAGGCACTTTGTTTCCATAAAGATCTTCCTTTGAGACTCATCGAACAGTAGCCAAGAAGTTATTGTGCACTTCATCTTTTATCAGGATGGGCCACATTACCATGACCTTTGTGGTGGCATGCTCTTTGCTTTGTTTAAAATATAGGCTCAGCTTGATTAAAAACGCCGCGGTACTGTGAATCATTTTCACGGTGAGAATTCACTATTTTGTTTCCACTCTTCAAGTATATGTGGCTAAACAGATATAGTTTCAACAGTTAAATTGTGTAACCATCATATTTTAGATATAGTTTGAAAATTGAATTGTGTAATCACCTTATTTTATGCTTAAATCTAGCTGCATCTTTATATGGTTACACTTTTGCATCTCTGAACCAGTGTCGTGAATTCTTTCATTTCTTCTTACGAAGTTTTTGACCAAAAACATGACTTCATTAAAACTGTGTTCAGCTGCACAATGAAAAAACTATTTTATCTATATACCCAAGTGTACTGTATAAGATAGTGCTTCAGATATTACAGTGGCTCTCACCAGGTAATCTCGGGGGTGAAGAGCAGGAGAGTGTAATGGATAGGGTATTGTCTAGCCAAAGACAACTCTACATGGTAAAGGCAAATTTTAGCTTGTCTACAGCTACTATTCAGGTGCAAATATCGGACTGGATAAAGGGAGTTTGATGGGTGTTTGCAAGCCGGCATGTTTTTGTCTTCTCTCGAGTTTCACCGCCAGCTCACTTTTTCTCTTTTGTCTGCATGTTTAGAGTTCATGTGCTGGTATTTGAGTGATTGTAAATATGCTTTTGCTGCATGAAGACCCTTAAAGTTAGCTATTTCTTGCAGTCCTTCGGTGTGAAAACAAAGTGCAATAGGGCATTTACTGAAACACCCGGTATGAGAAAACTTGCCTTTCTTTTCTCTTGTACTAATTTAGGCATAAATTGTTCAGTCGTAGTTTGTTAGCATGAGTACTTGAAGTGTTATTTCCACTAGTATTTAAAGCAAGCTTGCATAGTTCTGTGTATATATACAGCTTACCTTCCAATGTCACAATTGTACTGAACACATTCCTGTAGTATGCCTTGAAAGGGGCACACCAAGGACTCTACATAGGCAGCATAGGATGTATGACATGGAAATCCTGTGCACATCTGCTTGTATCTGGCATTATGACTGTGTACAAGTGCATGCAAGCATCTGTGTGAATGTGTGCATGTGTGTTTCTGTGCGTACATATGTATGCAGCGTGCTTATTTGCCAAGGAACCTAATATTTTTTGACACATTTTTTTATTGTCACTTTTTTTGTGCTTTTACTCGGCAGTCGTTATAACTCACTGTGTATTTTGATCACATTTTTTGTCTGCTGCATGTGAACAAGATTGAATGCCTGTTGTACGCTTGTAGCGTTTTTTGCGCAAGTAGTCGGCAGCCTTCTTTTGTGTATATGTATGTGCGTTTATTTTCTTTGAGGCATTACTAAGATGTGTGTGCTTTCTGCCTATGTCTTTATACACTTACTATTTGTCAAAGTTTTTCCACTGCTTAACATTAGCTACTTAAGCATTATACCATGCACAGGATGATTGTGAATAAATCATGTTTTTTTTATTCTATTCTGTGAAATAACCAAAATAATTTATGTTGTTATGTTCTTGTCTTTACTCAGCTTCCATGATGATAGGCAGTTTTAGATTACTGGTGTGAATGGTTTTTTTTTATTATTGTTGTTGTTCTTGTTGTGCACATTTGTTTTTGCATGCCTCAAATGTGGGTGACAATTTTATCAGTGCAGGACGACTGTACTGAGGGTCTATATAAATAAACTTCAGGCTTAGAAGTCTATTTCTACTTTTATTTTCTATTTTTATTTTGTATTTTTCTGGATGCTTAACATTTCAGTGCATCGTGAAGTCTTTGTGCATTAGCTTCTGTGGGGCTACCTGTTTCATTTTCCATAATGAAAGAGTTTGTGCGTAGCTTTGGCTTTGTTGTTGTTTCATAAAAAAAACCGTTATCACAGTTTTACTTCTATTGTGTACTATTATTGGGTTGATTTGATCTGTTGGCCACTATTGGTTGTGGATGCTTACGTGGTGTGTTCATTGTATTAGAATGCAAAAGCAGTTATTTGAGCAGGCTGCGAACTTTTCCATGATAGTCGGCATTGGTATGTGTCAACTGCTGTCGTATTAACCCTATTCTGTGCATTACATTCCCAGTCGTGTTGTGATAGCTCTTGTGATTATCTTCGAAGCTTGACTGTTTGAATCGAAGCAGTGCTTTCTGTTTTACAATGCTGCTTTCAGTTGTGATTGAAACTTGCTGCCTGCAGTTTTTTTCTGAGCTTATGGATATGGTGATAGGGCACAATTCTTTTTTTTTTATCAGAAAAATGGGAATGGCTGGGTTCTAAGCCAAATAATTTTCTTACGTGTATCTGTATGTTCCATAATGTTATTTAGTATCTCATAAAGCATTCTGCTGTATACCATATTAGGATTGTTTTCTGTTGTAGTGATATGCTGTATCAATGCAAGTTCCAGGATGCATCCTCTCCCCCCCCCCCCCCCTCGCTCTTCTTTTTTCGGTGCTAGATATTATAAACATTGAGCTTGTAGGTTTATCCTAGTGTTCTCTCAGTAGAATAAGTGCTAGAATGTGAGTTTTTTATTATGTTTTATTTCATGTGCTTGAGAGTGTGTACAAAATCATGACTTACGGTTTTGGATTGGAGTAGCTGTTTCATGCCCATTCAAGGTAGCAGTGGTCTCATTTACCCATGTTTTCACTACATCAGCAGAGAAAAAAGTTTGTGAATCATGTGAAGTGGTAAACATGCTTCCCGAAGTGCTCTGTATTGCTAGATTTTGCTGTGTTCTTATTGGTGCTTTTTATGTAGACACTTCCAAACTTGGTGGGAGAAAATGTCTTTCACTGTATTGCAAAGCTTATGCAATTTTGTATGTCTACCTTTTATATTCATACAGACTCTCTGTAAAATATGGACAGACTATAGGATGTTTCCAGAGAACCTTGTTCCCAGTAATTCTCTTCCACTCCTTATTGTTTGATGCCCATGCAACTTTGGTTTGGTTCTTTGGTTGTATGTTAAGAAACCTTTTCCAGCCCGAGTGTTATGTATTATGAAATAAAACAGGAAAAAGAATGTTTACTGATGTTTTGTTCACTGGTTATTTTTCTTCAGGCTTTAAGTCGCTCTCACGCAGTTTGCACATGTGGATTGCGTTTGGTCCGATGAAGTAGCATACTCTAAAGTACAGATAAGCTTCATCCGAGGCCTCTTGGCATGTTTAAATTTGAAGATACGTGTTAAGACACTGTTCTAGCTCGGCAATGCCAGCTCAGTTTGTAAAATCAAGAAAGGGTCTTTTTCAGTCCTTCGACATCTAAATTTGTAACATAGTGACACCAAATGCTAAAAACAGTGTTGTATTTGTTGGTAGCGCGTGGCTGCATATGGTGCATGAAAAGTCTATTAAAGGGAGATGTGATTCAAGAAAAAAAAAAGCTGCGTTAATTTGTAGCTTAAGGCAAGGAACTTTTTGCTGTATATATAGGCTTTGGTGCTGATTTCAAATATGTAATTAGTTTTATAGTAAGTTATGCAATTTTAGTTTTATGTGGTTTTGGACAAATGACAAGCTTTTTATACCTTTAAACATTTATGATCTTTAGCCATTAGTTGCTCATATTACTCTACATTAACTGTGGAATGCAAATAACTATTAAGAAAGTGTGTATAAGACATTTCAATGGACAAGAAAAGTTGTAATGTGGAAATGCTTAGAATTCTGAGCCCATACTAATTGTTCATTCTGGGTTTGCTATAATTACACTGGTGATGTAAAGTTTTGAAGATACATGCACCCTTCGCAAATTGAGGAATATGTGTGCAAAATTTCATCCTGATTGGGCTATCAGAAATACCAAAAACATGATGTCTAAACTCAAGAAGTTGCCCATAAATGGATCTTGAGAAAAATGCATTTTAAAAGTATAAGGGGAAGGTTATCTTTGTGGAAAAGGTACACTTTTCAAGATTATTTCTTCCATCATGATAGCTTGGCAAGCATGGTTATTTTGAGCATGTGGCTTTAGTGAACTCCTCATGCAAAATGCAATGGCAAATAGACAGGTGATAATTATCAGGGGACTTTAGAAAATGAGCTCTTTTAACTTTTAGTAGGCATTTGTGCTCTTGAAAAGCAATTTTAACTTACTTTGAGTTTAATTGCATTCTTTGGGATTTTTTTTTGTGAAAGAGAAATTAAACTTGTGAAAGCAAATAAAAATAGTAATAATAATTGTTGGGGTTTAACATCTCAAAATCGGCATATAACTAAGAGAGATGCCGCAGTGAAGGACTCCGGTCATTTTGACCACCTGGGGTTATTTAATGTGCACCTAAATCTAAGCGCATGGGCCTCAAGAATTTTCGCCTCTATTGAAAATACCACTGCCGTGGCCGGGATTCGAGCCCGCAACCTGCGTGTCAGCAGCCGAGTGCCTTAGCCACTAGACAACCGTGGCGGGTGAGCAAATAAAAATAAAAAATCAGTAATTTTGGGAAAAAAAGCTAGTTTTTTACTCTCATGTCCGCTTCAGGCATCCTGAATCGCTTGTGCATAAAACAAAAGAAACAGCTAGACAACACATCTTAGTGGTATGGAGAGAACTGCTGATTTATTTTTTTGTGAAGAGAACTCTTGATCTTCACTTATGTGCGCTTCTCGTAGCTCACAAGTCTTCTCATTATTTCCTCTACTCCCTTGTGCACCAGCAAACCACCTCAAGAAATCAAAAGTATCTATCATTTAGCTGGGTTGGAGTGTACACGGGAGCTTCTGGATCTACGAGCATAGCACTGTCGAATGCGAAGTCCATAGTTTCGAGCATGGGTGTTGGGTGCAGCCACGTCAGAATAAATATCTGGGGCTATACAACCCCTTTAGATTTTTTCAACCAAATAGCATGAGAAAACGAATCTAGAAGAAAAAAAACATTGTCAAATCAAAAAAACTAGCAACTTTTTCTAATAACTTATTTAAAAAAAACTTAAATTAGGTTTGGTGGCCAAATTTCAAATAATTTGTGTTGATGACATGAACCTATGGGTACCTGCTGGGGAACGGAAATTTGGTCGTACGATCCGGATCTTCGCATGATTTGTTTTCATTGGATCAAATATTGACTGTAATGTATTCATAGTTGTACAGTAGCAAGTAAAGGAAACTCTTTTTTAAACGTTCAACCTTTATCTTTCAAGCTGTTTGTAAAATTCTCGGAAACAACTACAAGAAAAAGTACATGCATATTGCTCTGTTTTCTTAATGCTTTTCTGCCGATTTTTTGCACTGTTTCAAGGATAAAGGTTGAAAATGAACCAACTAGCCTACATCAAAATTTTGTAAGAAAAAGTTTTAATTTTCTTTGTGTCTTTATGAACAAACTTTTTTGTGGCAAAAAAAAAGTATCTAAACTGTTCTTGGTACCTCGAGAAACTGCCTGGCTGTTGTATATTTTACAATATTACTACTAAATCAAAGCAGTATATGGCTAGGGCATTGTTTGTATTTGAGTAGAAATGTCTGTGCCACAGAATTGGACAAACCTCGTCCACTAAAAATGGCACTGTCTATGCACAAAGCATGTGCCACAGCAGTTGGACAAGCCTTACTGGTCACCATGGGTCAACTAAAGATTAAGAAGGGAACTCAAGGGTGCCAAACACCAATGTACGTGCAGCACAAAAGGTTAGGCAATGCATGTCGCAGCAAAAAGACTCAAGCTGCCCACCTGGAAAACTTTAAAGAGACCGATGACCAATTTTTGTGGCGTGGGTTTTCTTGAGCAAAAATTTATAATGATAATTTTTCTATCTGTGACAACTATGAACTTCTACACACAGTAATTACAAAAAAAGGACTAAAAAATGAAAAATCTCAAAGTGAAACTATACTATATGAACACCACAGTGACTAGAAAAGCTTGTGCAGCTTATGAATACTGTGGTGGACTTGTCACAACATGTGCTGCAAACAGTGAGAACAGCACAGCACGGCAGCAGTTCATGCTTGTGTGCTGTGCATGCTTCCACTCGGTGCACATGTGTCATGACTTGACATGTTCCACTAGTTGCTGTGAAGTTAGCAGTGCAGACTTAAACAGGTATGGATTGTGATATACATATACTTTAATTTTGAGCAGTGATTATGACATGCCTAAAAGCATCAGACTACATCATCATCAGCCTGATTATGCCTACTGCAAGGCAAAGGCTTCTCCCATGATCCGCCAATCAACCAGGTCTTGTGTTTTCTATTGCCATGTTATACCTGCAAACTTTTTAATCTCATCGGTTCGCCTAACTTTCTGTGTCCCCTTTGTGCGTTTGCCTTTTCTGGGAATCCAGTCAGTTACCCTTAATGACCAGCGATTGTCCCACGTACGCACTACGTGCCCGGCCCATGTTCATTTCTTCTTGATTTCAACAATTATATCCTTAACCCCAGTTTATTCCCTGACCCACTCTGCTCTCTTCTTGTCTTTTAAGGTTGCACCAATCATTTTCCTTTCTATCGCTCGTTGTGTCGTCCTACATTTCGGCTGAACCCTCTTTGTAAGCCTCCAGGTTTCTGCTCTGTAGGGAAGTACAGGCAAGATGCAGCTATTATACACACTCCTCTTGAGGGTTAGTGGCAGATTACCATTCATGATTTGAGAATGCTTGCCAAATGTGATCCACCCCATTTTTATTCTTCTAGTTATTTCACTCTCACGGTTTAGCTCTGTGGTTACTGCTTGTCCTAAGTAGGCACATTTCTTTACAACTTCTAGCATCTCTCCACCTATCGCAAAGTGCCGTTTTCCACCGAGACTGTTGCAGATTACTTTAGTTCTACGCATAATAATTTTCAGACCTACTTTTTTGCTTTCCGTGTCCAGTTCAGTAATCCTGTAATTTATCCCCCAAGTTACTCATCAAGGCAATGTCATCAGCAAATCACAGGTTACTAAGATACTCTTCATTAACTTTTATTCGCAACTCTTGCCAATCTAGGGCCCTGAAAACCTCCTGTAAACACACGGTTTATAGCATTCGTGAGATCGTGTCTCCCTGCCTTACACCCTTCTTTATTGGGATTCTGTCACTTTCTTTATGGAGAACTATGGTGGCTGTGGATCCTCTTTAGATTTCTTCCAGTATGTTTGTGTAGGGCTCTTGGATGCCGTGATTCGAGTGCATACATTACTGCTGATAGCCCAACTGAGTCAAACGCCTTCTCGTAATCTGAAAGCTATGTATAGGGGTTAATTATATTCCGCACATTTCTCTATTACCTGATTGATAGTATGAATATTGTCTATTGTGGAGTAGCCCGCACAAAATCCTGCTTGGTCCCAAATTTGGTTTATGGAACTCTGTCTCCTTAATTCTATTAGCTATTATTTTTGTAAATATTATTTTTGTAGAGAATAGACAGTAAGCTGATCGGCCTGTGATTTTTCAAGACCTTGACGTCTCCTTTTTTATGGATTAAGATGATGACATTTTTCTAAGATTCCAGAGCACAGCATCAAGGCTTTGCCACTATGCTGTACAACACACTGGTCTTTTGGAGCTTTTAAGTACAAAGGAATAGAATGAAGCAACTTCATTTAGGCCCTTCAAGACATGCTGTTACATGGTCGGCCGCTCCCACGTCGGGACAGATAGGCTTAACCTCTCTGCCACGTCACGGGCACGTTGGTCTGCACACAGTTGTGCCTCAAAGTTCAGGCAATTGGAAATACAGTAAAGTGAAAAGTTGGGCGAGTTGGTGCTGGTTCATGATGATACGGGGCGCGAAAAAAACGACACACAACAGAGAAGAAGTACACAGACGACGCGCTACTAGCAACTGGAATATTTTATTCAGGAAACACCATTTATACCGCAGTGACGTCAACTTTAACCCAAAAAACTAAAAATACATGCTCAGCATGCCTATAAGTAACGTTGCAGATAGGCTATCTCCCCTTCCTGCAGACTGATAGAGGGGTGGCTGATGCAATCATGCCCCTCCCTCTGGATAAAGAGGGCTTCTATAATCTCCCTCTCCGCTGAGCCCCTGTGCCTGTAGATTACAGTTGTCTGCTCAAATACCGGCTTACA